GGTATGTATAAACACCATATAATGGCAGGGTGGTTGGCTGGTCGTTCGTCGTTACATTTTCGGGTTGTTTGATACTACGAGGGTTGTCATTTTGTGTATGAACTGATTGGGGTGTGTGGTCTATTTGTGGTATTTTGTGATGGGTATAAGGTTGGAAAATAATGTATACATATTGTTATTGTTGTGTTCTTGTTGTTTTTGATGCTATGTCGAATTGGGAGGAAGTAAAGATTATAAGGGAGATGCTACCCGTTTTATTATAAAATAAGCTTGTCATTCATTGTGTGATAGTTGTACCTTCCATAACTTGATGATAGTATTATTATCATTGTTGTATATTAAGGTGCAACAAGATGAGTTTAACGGAGTTATTGGATAGATTGTGATAAGGTATGTTAAGGCTAAACCTTTCCTTCATTTTGGCATGATCTCTTAACTACATGCGTTTGATAACGAGACACAAAGAGAAGTTCGTACTCCTAAGTTTATGTACATTATCCCAGTCTCATAAGTTACAGTATTCTCCCTTATTAACACTTTATATTCAGTTAAGTATTATCTTCTCCTAGTCAAGAGAGCAGAGGGTCTATATATATGTATATATATTGACACCTTGAATCATGACTTAAGAGTCACTTCTTACTTAGTCCCTTGGCAGCCACGTTTTGGGCCTTTTTGGCCTTATCCCAATCCCAATTATTTATTAATCTTTTTGACTACTCCCTCTAGTTCACAATAAGTGACCAATTTGCTTTTAGCACGCAATTAAGAAAATACTAAATTCTATACAAAAATACCTACTATGACTAAACTACCCTTAATTAAATATTTAATGTGAGGAGTAAGAATTTTTTTTAGGGATATGTACATAGGGGTTATTTTGTAAAAACAAATTGAATTCTTTCTTGATTACATAACTGGACACTTATTTTGAACCAAAATAAAAAAGCAAATTGGTCACTTATTGTGAACCGGAGAGAATATCTTATTAATCTCCCACTGACCGATAATTACCCAATTATTCACATAATTAAGCATTCCCTCAAATTACTTAAAATGTTACTCACTTTTAACACACTTTATACACCTTTCTCTCATGGTCATGTGGTACCTTGTATGACACTAGTCCATATATTCGGGGTATTATAGTTTAGACCGTATTTTACCCCAAAATATCAAATTTCGACGAAATTCATTTTCTTCGATTCACTTACCTTCTCACCTTCACGAATTTACTCGTCACTTATTTGAAACAACATAATACCTATAATCCCAAAATAATCTCATTCTTGAATTTAAGTCGATTAACTTACGACGAAATTTTATCGTATGAGAATGCGAAATATAACATAGAGAATTTCCAATTGAGACGAGAGATTCCTTCTTGATTGATATTGCAATAATCTTGGTTGGAAGGATTTTTTGGATCTTATCTTTTATTGCATTTGGTATCAACAATGGGAAGGTTCTAGAATTAGAAGTGGCCTATAAATAGCCCATTAGAACCCATTGTAAATCATCCAGAAGCGAATAACAATTCTCTCTACTTAAAGTTCTCTCTGTAAACACTTGCTTCTTTTCTGCTCAGGCTTTGCCGGGAGCAAGCATAGACTATTCGTGAAATAATCTTTCTATTCACCTAATTGTTTTCTTGTTTAGTCATCCCACATCACTCTTAATATAAGAAGCTCTTAGGATATATCACAAATCAGAATTATTGATAAAATTAGAAAGAAATATAAAAGAAAAAAAAAATACAAAAACCATGAAAAATAAAAAAAAACTGAACTATACAAACCTCGGTATTATTGGCAATATTCTAAAGGAAGTTCAGACAAAAGATGTTTGCGGAATTAATAGATATGAGTATATTAGAAAAGGTGAATTAGTCATACCACAATTTTTTAAAATTAACAACAAATAGGCAAAAGAATTGTTACAAAAAATTTATAACAAGGTAGGTAAGTATAATATTGCAAAACCGTAAGGGAGGTTAGTTTGGCGAAGCCGAAACATGGAGTGAAGTCTCCAAAATTATCCCCTTTTTTTTATCGATAAAAGATTATTTTAAAAAAGCAAATCTTATTATTTTAAAAATTCCCACTTACCCTTATGTTGCTATGAAATATTTAACATGAAATAACATTTATAAAAATGTGGAGGCCAGCTACTCATCAAGGAAGCAAAACTGGAGCAAGTTTCAAATAGTATAGTTCGAAGTATACAGGGCAATTATTTTATGGAATGGAAAAATTTTGAATCCAAAGGTGCGCCCTGGTGATGTCGGATAGCTGAAAATTGTACAATTACATTCTGTCAGTCTGTTTCTTGCAAATTAAAATTCAGAGCTGATAATTGGGAACTGATGTTGCAGATCCAATAGTGTAGGCAATGAGTAAATGATCATGCCATGGTGATAGTAAGAGGCTTCAATTTGGAACAATCGCATGAATACACAAGCAGACTCATCTATGGCGTCTTCAAGGCTCCCAGAGTTCATCAATGAAAACCAACCTTTTGATCTTTCCTTATCACAAGCATAATTCACATTGATAAATAAACCTATGCCTCCTATATAAATGGAATCTTAATTTTTTGAATAGGACAAGCATTCTCAGATGATTGTACATATCACTAGGATAGGTATCGGATTAGAATAGTATAGCAAGGTCCAAATCTGTTCAGGTTCAAAAGCATATAGCTACAGCATAACGGCTTTAAGGAGATAGTTAATCGACATACACACAAATTATTTGATGCCGAAAAGACCAAATAATAGGTTGACAGTAAAATTTGAACACTGAAGAATGATAGGAAGATGCAGAGTCAGAAAGTTCTTCGAGAGGGGAAACCAACATTGTTAAGCTACTTGATGAATTGCATGGATTCGAAAGGAGATAAGGGGTATTAACAGAGGAGTTGCAAGGGCGGGAGTTAAAAGCGTTGTTAGCAAGAGCATTGGAGGCACAAGAGTTGTGTTGGAGATATCGAAATTAAAATCAAGAATGAAATAGTTGAAGGGAAGGGATAACAGTACAAAATCTTTCACGGAATGGCCAAAGTCCACGGAAGATATAATTGAAATTGCAAATTGCTAATCTATGGTTGGGAACTTGAAGGGAAAGGAAGGGGTAGTCCAATTCTATTCAGCAGCTTTACTGAAAAACAAGACTTAGAGATCGACCTTCGATGGAATTCCTTTGTAGAGTGATGGGAAGGGATTTACTAACTCGAAACACTGTTTCAAACGGAGGAGATAAGACATCTAGTCATCATGGCTTTTTCTATCATTGTGGTATTATCATTACTGTATTGTGGTATTATCATTACTGTGGATGTCATGAAATGCTAATCAGTTTTATCATGCAGGATCAGGCACGAAGCGTCTTTAATCTATCTTTGTTGTGCTTGTCCCGAAGAAAAGTGGAGCGATGGAGGTTCAACCTATTCTTTTATTGGTGAATGTTCATCAAATAATTGCTAATCAAACCAATTATGGACAATCTGACATCCATATCTCAAAATACATTTGATGGGGGAAGGCAAATCTTAGTCATAGTCTTGATAGCAGAAAGGAAAATCGTAGGAGAGTTGTTCATCAATATTGACATTGTGGAGATAGTAATGCAAGAAGTTAGTCCATTTTTTTAACCAAAACTCATAGCCTTTTACAAATTCAAGAGAAAAATCCATTGAACGTGATTGCACGCCTTTTCATTTTCCAGCTTGCAATGTATCCCAGTCTTCTTTTGCCTAATCCTTGTGTCAAGGAACTCAGTTCCAATCAATGTTGAGTGATTTGTCTGTCTTCTTTTTATAAAAACCATCAATGATTTTTAAGTCTTTCTGAGAGTAGGTTGGACACAATCTTGTAGAAACTACCTATCAAGCTAATGGGTCTGTACTCTCTCACTTCTTCGGCTTACATCCTCTAATGCATCAGCCCTATGTAAGAGGTATTGAAACTTTTTTTCAAATTGGCCATTCCAGTGGAAATAATCTAGAGCTCTCATCAAATCCATTTGATTACGTTCCAACATTTTTCATAAAAAACATAATGCGTCCACCAAGATTCGGAGTTTAATCACTTGAACACTGTTGGCTGACCCTTAACTTCATCTTTCTCAAATTCCCATTGTAGCACTCGTCATCCTCACCCGAGATAGCAGGAAGGTTCCCGTGATTTCAGAATGGTCTTTGTTGTTCGATTTACGAGTATAACTTTTCAAAGAAGCAAAGAAACTCATCGCAAATAGTCTACTCATCTATTTCCACATTAACCACAAGTCTGTCGATATGATTATGACGTTTATGTGTGTTGACCATTTTGCGGGGAAAAACAATGTTCTTGTCCCCATAATTTGAGCCAAGGACATCTGGATTTCTGTTTACAAGAGATTTATTCCGCTTCGGCAATACCCTTCAGATCCATTAGTAGATCAGTCTAAAAGGCCGTCTAATTGTTGAATGGCCTTTAAGACTCTATTCTTTCTGTTTCCAAGAAACCCAAAACTAATAATATCCCACCCCTTTAGCTTGTTTTTTAGCATCGTCAGTTTGATAGAAGAAAATGTAACTGTACGACCTTGGCATCCGTCAGCCACGTACTGGGTTCATTGTCTATTAAACCAAGACGTCTACATCAAGATTATGTGTTTTGTTAATCGGCAGTTCACCAAATTAAAAGAGGAATTATTGCATAGATATTTTGGCTTCACACAAGTTGTCACGACCCTAAACCCCAAATCCGGTCGTGACGGCGCCTCTCGTAAAGACAAGGCCAGCCGACACTTCCCATTTCCAATTATTAACAGTTAAACCATAAGAAATAGATCTAAAGCATGATAAGATAATCCAAAGTTAACAGATGATAGCATAATTCGCGGAAAATAACCCAACACAGCCCGATACCGGGGTGTCACTAGTCATGAGCATCTAGCAAAAAGGAATACTCCAATATATATAACTACAGAGTTTAATACAGAAACTAAGAACATAAAGAAGTAAGATAGGGAAGAGCTCCGGGCTGCGAACGCCAACAACTACTTAGAGACTCCTCAGATCCGCCTAAGCCGGAATGATCAGCACTCGGGAGCGGGACCAGATACGCCTGAATCTGCACACAGGGTGCAGGGAGTAAAGTGAGTACTCCAACTCAGTGAGTAATAATCATAAATAAAGACTGAAAGCAGGAAATCACATAAGACACAAAAACATGCTATAATGAAGCAGTAAAAACCCTTTTAAAACATTAAACTGGTGAAAGATAGGTAAAAATCCTTTAACTCAAATTTAACTTCCTGAAAAGCCTTTTTCAACAATAAAGCAGGTAATAGAAAGTTAATTATGAAAAAATAAACACATAAAACGCCCCTCGGGCACAGTATCAACAAATCTGCCCCTCGGGCAACGTCTCAGAATAGTACCAGCCCCTCGGGCAATCACATAGAACAGTACCAGCCCCTCAGGCTCAATCTCACATCATAATGGGTACCCGCGCTCACTGGGGGTGTACAGACTCCTGGAGGGGCCCCTTACGGCCCAAGCGCAATATCAAGCAACCTCGTGGCATCATCACTAGGCCCTCGGCCTCATATCAATCAAGCCACCTCGTGACGTACATATCTCAGGCCCTCGGCCTCATAATCAATATCAAATGTTTCCTCACAACATAGGCCCTCGACCTTACTCAGTCAAAATCCTCACAAGCCCCTCGGGCAACAGTAAAACAGTGATTCTCAGCCCAATTATCATTTAAAAGATTATTTAAGTATTTAAAACATAGTAAACATGGCTGAGTACAAAACAGTGAAATATAACATTATTGAGTTCAAGTATAAAGTCAAAACAGTGAGGAAATACTAGTAAAAATCCCCGAAGGGTTCAAATAGTTGGCACAAGGCCCAAATATGACATTCAGCCCAAATCATGATGATAGCAAATAGATTTTAGTCAAATACGCGATAAAATAGTCATTCGGGACGAACCAAGTCACAATCTCCAATAGTGCACGACCCCACGCTCGTCAGCAAGCGTGTGCGTCACCTCAATATAGCACAACGATGTGCAAGTCCGGGGTTTTATACCCTCAGAACATCATTTACAATCATTACTCACCTCGAACCGGTCAAATCTCTAGCTCGCAACCCCTCGAATCGGCCTCCACTCGCGTCGAATATATCCAAAATCAGAACGAGGACGTCAAAATATGCTAAGGGAACAAAGCCCAAGCGAAAATAATCAAAGTACGACACAAATCCCAAAATTACCAAAACCCGACCCTGGGCCCACGTCTCGGAATTTGATAATTTTTATATCAATAGATTCCCTATCTCCCCACGAGTTCATGATTATCAAAAGTTCTGAAATCCGACCTCAAATGGTCCTTCAAATCCTCAAGCAAAGGTCTAAGTTTCCAAGCCCTAGTTTCCCCAATTTCAGCCCTTAAATTCTATTAATCATAGCTCTAATCCGTGAAATGATAGCCTAGGAACGTGTTTTAGGTCCAAATTCCTTACCTCAATGAAGTTCCCTTGAAATCCCTTTTTCAAATCATCCAAAAAGCTCCAAAGCCGAGATAGAAATGGTGAAAATATCTCAAAATTGTGAAGGACAATTTATATCTTCTGCCGAGGCATTTTTGCATCTGCGGCCCTATAACCGCTTCTGCGGTACCGCATATGCGTCCAACTAACCGCTTATGTGGTCCTTCACTTAACGGCTAAAATCGCATCTGCAATCCACATTCCGCATCTGCGACATCGCAGATGCGGTCCTCCTCACCACTTTTGCGGTTTCCTGCCTACACCCCAACTTCCGCTTCTGCGACTCCTCTTCCGTATATGTGGCGTCGCACCTGCGGTCCCCAATCCACAAGTGTGGAAATACCAGAAGCAGCAAAATGTGCAGCTGCAATAATTCCTCAAACTCCTCGTCAACTATCCGAAATCACCCCGAGGCCCCTAGGACCTCAACCAAAAGCACCAACATATCCCAAAACCTTATTCAAACTTGTACCAATCTTCAAAACACCTCAAACAACATCAAATCAACCAAAACGCATCGGATTCAAGCCTAAATTCCCAAAATCTTCTGAATTCCGCTTTTGATCAAAAATTCAACCAAACCACGTCCGAATGACCTTAAATTTTGCAAACACATCCCAAATGATACAACGAAACTACTGGAACTCTCGGAATTCCATTCCAACCCCTATATCAAAATCTCGCCTACCAACTGGAAATCGCCAAAATATCAATTTCGCCAATTCAAGCCTAAATATACTCTGAACCTCTAAAACTCATTTCGATCATGCTCCTAAGTCCCAAATCACCTCCCGAAGCTAACCGAACCATTGGAACTCACATCCGAGCCCTCTAATACATAAGTCAATATCCGGTTGACTTTTCCAACTCAAGCTTCCTCAAAAGAGACTAAGTGTCTCAAACCTTACCAAAATCATTCCGGATTCGATCCGACCAACCCGATACCACATAACACGGATAATCAAAGCATAAAGAAGTAGAAATGGGGGAAATAGAGCGGTAACTCATGAGACGACTGGCCGGGTCGTCACATCCTCCCCAACTTAAACAAACGTTCATCCTCGAACGAGTCAAAAAACATACCTGAAGCCTCAAACAAGTGAGGATATCTGCTCTGCATCTCCTAGGTAGCCTCTTCTACAGGTCGACCTCTCTACTGCACTTTCACTAAAGCTATATCCTTTGACCTCAACTTTCGAACCTGACGACCCAAAATAGCTACTAGCTCCACATCATAAGTCAAATCATCATCCAACTGAACTGTGCTGAAATCCAAAACATGAGACAGATCCCTAATATACTTTCGGAGCATAGAAACATGAAATACAGGATGCACACTCGATAAGCTAGGTGGCAAAGCAAGCTCATAAACCACCTCCCCAATCCTCCGAAGCACCTCAAAAGGCCCAATGAACCGGTGACTCAATTTCCCTTTCTTCCCAAATCTCATAACACCCTCATGGGCGAAACCTTCAAAAGAACCTTTTCACCAACCATGTAGGACACATCTCGAACCTTCCTATTAGCATAACTCTTTTGCCTCGACTGCGCTGTACGAAGCCTATCCTGAATCACCTTCACCTTTTCCAAGGCATCCTGTACCAAGTCTGTCCCCAATAGTCTAGCCTCACCGGGCTCGAACCATCCAACTGGAGATCTACACTGCCTCCCATACAAAGCCTCATATAGAGCCATCATAATACTCGACTGGTAGCTGTTATTATAAGCAAACTCTACAAGTGGTAGAAATTGATCCCATGACCCTCCGAAATCAATGACACAAGCACGCAACATGTCTTCCAATATCTGGATAGTGCGATCTAATTGTCCGTCCGTCTGAGGGTGAAAAGCTGTGCTCAACTCAACCTGAGTACCTAACTCTCGCTGCACAAACCTCCAAAACTGCGATGCAAACTGAGTGCCTCTATCTGAGATAATGGAAACTGGGACACCATGCAAACGAACAATCTCCCGAATATAGATCTCTACCAACCGCTTTGAAGAATAGGTAGTACACACAGGAATGAAGTGCGCGGACTTGGTCAGCTGGTCCACAATCACCCAAATAGCATCGAACTTCCTCAAAGTCCGTGGAACTCTAACTACAAAGTCCATAGTGATCCTCTCTCACTTCCACTCTAGAATATCTACCCGTTGAAGCAAGCCACCCGGTCTCTGAACAATATCAACAAATCTGCCCCTCGGGCAACGTCTCAGAACAGTACCAACCCCTCGGAAAATCACATAGAACAGTACCAGCCCCTCGGGCTCAATCTCACATCATTGTGGGTACCTGCACTCGCTGGGGGTGTACAGACTCCTGGAGGGGCCCCTTACGGCCCAAGCGCAATATCAAGCCACCTCGTGGCATCATCACTAGGCCCTCGGCCTCATATCAATCAAGCCATCTCGTGGCGTACATATCTCAGGCTCTCGGCCTCATAATCAGTATCAATTGTTTCCTCACAACATAGGCCCTCAGCCTTACTCAGTCAAAATCCTCACATGCCCCTCGGGCAACAGTAAAATAGTGATTCTCAGCCCAATTATCATTTAAAAGATTATTTAAGTATTTAAAACATAGTAAACATGGTTGAGTACGAAACTGTGAAATATAACATGACTGAGTTAAAATATAAAGTCAAAATAGTGAGGAAATACTAGTAAAAATCCCCGAAGGGTTCAAATAGTTGGCACAAGGCCCAAATATGGCATTCAGCCTAAATCATGATGATAGCAAATAGATTTTAGTCAAATACGCGATAAAATAGTCATTCGGGACAGACCAAGTCACAATCCCCAACAGTGCACGACCCCACGCTCGTCATCAAGCGTGTACGTCACCTCAATATAGCACAACGATGTGCAAGTCCGGGGTTTCATTCTCTCAGAACATCATTTACAATCATTACTCACCTCGAACCGGTCAAATCTCTATCTCGCGACGCCTTTGCCTCTCAAATCGGCCTCCACTCACATCGAATCTATCTAAAAGCAAAACGAGGATGTCAAAATATGCTAAGGGAACAAAGCCCAAGCGAAAATAATCAAAGTACGACACAAATCCCGAAATTACCAAAACTCGACCCTCGGGCCCATGTCTCGAAATTCAATAATTTTTACATCAATAGATTCTTTATCTCCCCACGAGTTCATACATGTCAAAAGTTCTGAAATCCGACCTCAAATGGTCCTTCAAATCCTCAAGCAAAGTTCTAAGTTTTCAAGTCTTAGTTTCCCCAATTTCAGCCCTTAAATTCCATTAATTATAGCTCTAATCTGTGAAATAATAGCCTAGGAACGAGTTTTAGGTCCAAATTCCTTACCTCAATGAAGTTCCCTTGAAATCTCTCTTTCAAATCGTCCAAAAAGCTCCAAAGCCTAGAGAGAAATGGTGAATATAGCTCAAAATCGCGAAGGACACAATTTATACCTTTTGCCCAGGCATTTTCGCATCTGCTGCCCTATAACCGCTTTTGCGGTACCGCAATGCGTCTGTGATGACTCGGCCGGTCGTCTTAAGAATTAATTCCCCGATCCCCTATTAACTACTTTCCTCGAGTTTATTTCT